AAGCACTGCTAACAAGAGCTTCTCACAGCAGTTCTACTTATTTCAAGTCATATGGTTTTAAAAGAACTCTTTAAAATATTCACAAGTAGGTACCAGTCCAATGGCTTTTTAGTTAAAATCGTTTTTCTCATTTCTAAAAGTCACATTCTACTAACAACAACCCAGGAGACTCTTCGAAGAAAAAAATAATACTTTTTGGAGTATATACACATATGTGGACTCACACATGTGTCTTTAGGCATGTGCAGGACTATATATATATGTACAGGAACATATACATACATATGTGCATACATGAGACAGGATGGAATCTGTGAAATCATTGCCAAGTTGATACCAAGGTATAGAAAATAGCATGAAATTTGTTATATATATTTAAAATGATAAAACACTTCATTCTCTTTACATATTTAAGCCTAAGGGAGGGATACGTGAACTCTAAACCTATAAAGCAATAAAGAATTTATACAACATTGCCAGTAAGGGTACACATGGCTGCAGTCCCTTTGGCAGGCGATTTGGCAATATCCATCAAATCTCAAATACATGCTTTGACCCAGCAATCCTACCTATAGGAATTATAAATATGAGTATAAAATTTTGTACAGGCTTATTCATTGTAGCATTGTAATAGCAAAAGACTATAAAAAACTAAGGTGTGGCATCGATAGAGTAGATTTTAATTGCAGTTGGGATATGTGATCCCTTTCCCCTTGCCTTTCCTCTCAAATTCCAACGTATCATCTTCCTTCAGGTCCTTGTTTTAAATTTCTCTATCTATTGGACTCTTCTTCTAAGCCTACAAGCAACCCAGTCTCTCTCCCTCTGAGTACTTTTCCCTTCACCCTGCCAACTCAAGTTATCCTTTTTCTCTCCTCCCACTATGACACCTTTCTTGAGTAATCTATACTTTGTTTCCTTCTTTCATGAATCACATTCACTTTTGTTATAAGCCCTACAATTTAAAAATGCTTAAACCTACACCTATGAATTCAGTCCTCATCCTACTTGACTTCATACCGGCTGACCCTGCTAAAAACTCCTTCCACTCTAAAACTCTATTGTCCCTTGACTGCCAGGGCTGCAGTCTCTTATGGTCTCTCCTCTCTGCTATTATGACCCTGCCAATGCCCTTCTCTCCCTGCACATCTTCTGCTTCTCTATTCCAGGCTGCCCCTCAATCCCCAGCCCATGAGAATGCTGCATGAGGAAGCATCAGGCTCCGACACCCTATGTCTGGTGCCTTTCCTTGGGAAAGCCCTCATCACTTTGTTCAGGATCCAACATCCCTAAGCCAGGCTGCTCTGATATCCTTCACACTGCTGGAGTTCTGATTGTCTACAACAGGCTATCCCCACATGGATGGATACCCTCCTAACCTTGCTTGGGTTGTGATACCTACCCACCCTGTAGGTATCTGCCTTATCTAGGAGCTTTAGGACTGAAATGTGCAGAAAGAAAAGAAGGGCAGATAATACAATACTATACCATCTTAATAATCACAGCTTTATAGTAAGACATGATATCTAGGTGAGCAAGTCTTTATTCTTACTGTTCTTCTTCAGGACTGTCTTGGGTGATTCTTGACCTTTTGTTCTTCAACTCCTTTATTTGCAGCTTGTTCATGCATGTAATTCAGTTGGATGAACAACCCTATCTAACATTTTGGCACTTTTATAATACATTTTTAACAGAACACTTTTGGTTATTTAACATAAGTAGTTGCTTTTTATCAATTTCACTAGGAGCCTTCTAGCAAAAACTTCCTATTAATGATGCAATACACAACTTTTCTGCTTTCCGCCTTGAGCTGATCTCTAAACTAGATTGAAGACCATCAACAGAACATCAAATGAGGCTTCAAGTAAGCTGTGACATTTAGAATGCCTTGAAAGAAGGTATTTCTACTGGTGGTAACCTAAGCAGGGTAGAAATACGTATGTGGGAAAATGACAAAGAAAAGCATTTGGATGCAGAGATCTGGAGTTCAGGGAAGAGGTCAAGGTCAGAGATGCAAATTTGTGAACACTGACGTGTGGATGGCATTTACAGGCATGGAACTTGAGCAACCTAGACTAAGCAGAGAGGAGGGTTGAGCTTTAAGCCCTGGAGAACTCAAACCAGCAATAGAGAAGGAGCAGTGAAGCAAAACAGTGGGTGTCCTGGGAGCAAAGTAAATAAAAGCATTTCCAGAAGCCCAGAAAGTATTCAAATGTGTCAAATGCTATTACAAGGTAGGGTGAGAAATGAGAAATTCCCATTAAGATTTGGAAAGATGGATGCTTTTGGTAACCCTAGGAAAAGAGACATCAGTGAAATAGATAGGACTAAAAGTCTCAGAGGAGTGGGATGAAGAGAAAACAATTGTTCCTCAAACATGCCAAAGTTTGTCCCCACCTCACAGCCTTTACAGATGCTATTTGATCATCCTGAAATACCTATTCCTCCAGACCTTTCCATGCATGTGTATGTCCCTCATATGTCAAGGTACAAGTCACCTCCTCTCAAAGGCCTTCTTTCACCATTCTAAAATAAGCACCCCTCATTACTAATTACTCTATCCCCTCACCTTGCTTTCTTTAAATAGTACATAACAATACTTAAAAATTTCCTTTATTTCTTTACTTGTTTGTTGATCTCCCCAAGAATATGATAAATGAAGGAATAATATGTACAAATACTTCTTTTTAAGGATAACTTGTATATTTTTCTAGGTGCATCATTCCTGGCAGATTTTCCAGTACCTAAAGATATAAATTTATTGACTACAGCTCTCATACAGTGAGAAATTTGCTATATAGCAACAAAGACGGTCTATAACTTTACAATCATGGGCAAATCCTCTTTACTGCCATTTTACTGCCAGTTTCCTATAGCTATGTTTCATTGATTATAACCCAACACATGGTTTTCTCACAGAATACTTCACCTTAACTTTATTTCACAGAAAAATTATACTGGTAAAATTCATATTGATTATAATTCTCACATTCTATTTTTTTTTTATAATGAAGGCAAAGCATGCCCTAAATATAGCTAGGTCATCCCCAAAGTTCTCAGAGAAATGAAAGTTGTAGAATACATTAGAGATATTCTAATCCAGTTCTTGTCACACATGGAAAACAAGACTAAGTGGGTACATGTGCCTCAGTCCACAAGTGAACTCAAAACCCGACTCCCAGCCTTTTGTAAAGACAGAGAAAGACATCTGGTTAATAAGAAGGGCTTAGGTAATTGATATACTATGTCCTAATTATTTGACATAATTTACAATCTGGACTTCTGCCATTCTGAAATGTACCACTCTATCCCTGGAAATCCTTATCTGTTGAGCCTTTATCTCATTTTCTGGTGGCTTCATTTCCAAAGTAGAGTAAGCCAGGATTTTATTTTAGAAACCCTCTGGGGAGTACTTGCCTTAGTGTCTCTGGGAGGGGACACACACACACAAAACACCTATGCTTAAGTCTGTATTAAGAATCTGTTAATCAGTTTATAACCTGCCAGCAAAGCTCTGTCACAGCATGTCACAAGGAATTATAATAATCTTTTACAGTGCCTTCTTGTATAGTAATTTAAAATATTGTTACTATATGGTATACAGTTTTGAGGTACTAAAAGTGTCCTTCCTACTTAATTTTGTTTTGGAAAAGGGACACAGCAAGTAGGTGATCAGAGATAAGCATTTTGCAAGATTTATTAAACCTAGAGGCAGGCTAAAAAAGCCAATGTGGCCATAGGAATAAAGAACGGGAGAGTTCCCTGGGGCATCACTGTGGACAGATCCTGAGCAGCTGCATGATTAGCTTCTAATAAATTAAGCAAAAGGAAAAGAGAAGGGGAAAAGGTGAGATCCATCTTATTGTTAAACACACTTTTCAAGGAGAGAAAAGCTATAAAATATTTATCAACTGCTTACTGTTTTGAGCACATTTCAAAGTTCAATGGAATGATTCTAAATGCCTCTATCCACAGCTGAGAAATAGACCATTTATATTATCCTAAAAGAGTCTAACATCTAAAACAAATTCATTTAACAAACATGTTCTGAATGGCCACTATAAGCTAGGTACTTTTCTAAGTGCTAAGGATACAGCAATAGATAAACTGCATGGATTTTATGTTCTTAGTGGAGAGAAACAAAGTCAATAAGTAAATGACTTAGTATTTTACAAGTATCCTAAAAGCCATCTTCAAGTACTTAGACCATGATAAGTACTTTGGAGAAAAAGAGCAAGAAAAGAAGGTAAGATATAAGTAACTCATATGTATTCATCTGTAGGTAATAGCCTGTTTATTTTATGACAGAGTAGATTTTATAATGTAACAGGGTTCTTTTACAAACAACATTCTCTTTATAAGTATTCCACTTTATAAGGTATAGAATATATCTCCACTCCTATAGTATATTATTTATATGTTATACTATATACTTACATATATTTATAACTTATTTGATAACTTCTTGGTCAAGAATATAATCTACAATGAATTAACATCAAGCCTTTTTAGCGAAACACAATGTACTATTGGATATTACTCTATGACGGGTTTTGAAGAATGAACCGTTTTTGCTTTTTTTTTTTTAAAGTGGAGTCCTACTGAATTGTGAAGCTTCCAACAGTGAACCAAGGAATTCAGTTAGCAATGATTTTCAATTCTAAAAAACATAATTTTGATCACTCATCACCCCACCCTAAATTCATAAAATGTAGCCTAGATTAAATAGAAATTTTAGTCATTAGTATACTTAGTATATTAATCAAGATGTAACAATGGTTGGCTTGGTTTTCCTATAACTTGAAAAAGAATAGTGAAAAACTAAAACCGTGGGATGAGCTCATTTCCGATTAAAAAAAAAAGACAGTTTTACAACTAAAATATAAACAAACTATTTTATTATTATGTTTATTACATTTTGGTTGTCTAGTCCTTCAATTTGGATCAGAAAACTTATAAAATAAAATGTCAACTGAAGATTTCAGCAGAATAAAGCTTACCTTCAGGCTGGTATGAGAACGTGGCTGACTTAATTCCTGAAATTTCCATTGCTCTGATCCAGGGGTCTCTCCGCCTTTCTGAGTATCAGGTGTAAGCAACCCATCTCCAGCAGGTAATGGGAAAAGCCCTAGTGATATAGGGCGTTCTTTTCTATTTGGAGAGGGGAGAAAAAATTAAGCATTTGTTCATTTTTAATTCTTTATTCGTCAAGACTATTAAGTAATAAGCCTGGGTTGTCATTGCTTTAGAATCATATATACTCTTAAATAATATTGTCTGCTTATCTGAACAAGTAGACTTATCAGAGACAGGACAAGGTCTCAGGAGTTTTCATTAAACCAAAGAAATCAACTAAGAAAAGTAGTAAGAAATGGTTTAGGAAATCTTATAAGTTACTGATGAGTTCCTTGCCCAGGGAGCAGTCTGTGGTCAGCTTTTGTAGCAAGAACTAAGTTTTCACTCATGTTTAAGTTAACCTTAAGAGAACTTGGAACTTCTTTCTTTGGAAGTGACCCCAAACCCTGCTTCTAGACTTCCCAAGTCTTCACACTAATCCCTAGATGTTTACCCAGCCTTCTTCAGGGTGTGCCTTTTCTGCCTAAAGGGATATCAGCTTATGATCTAAATCAGAGCTACTGCATAAATGGTAAAAAGAGCTCAAAGGAGTTTTATCCGCTAAAGCAGGAAAGCAGTATTTTTCTACAGAACACATGTATGAGTTCCTTTCAATCACAGTTCTATTGAGAAAACCATTGTCTGTTTTTCCAAACGTGGAGGCCAAAAAATTCTATGAAAGACTGTAGAGTTTCCAATGCTTTGTGAGAAATTTCAACGAGAATAGTTACGATTCTAATAACAATAGAATTGCAACAAGAAACACATCCTTTATTGATGCATATAAGATTCCAAATCAAAGGGATTTTAGAGGCTGAAAACAAGCCTACTATCAGGTCATCTTGGGTCATTAACTCAGAAGTGTAGAAACTGGCAAGAAATGAGACACTAAAGGTTTCGGCCCTCCTGGAACTCCTAACTCTCTACTGGTAAGAGTGTAAGTTAGAATAGAAACACTGATTATAAATAAAAGTAGGAAAATAATCAGTTTTGCTAAATAATTCCTTTATTCTGTAAACTCATTTTTACACCAGGAAATTTAAGCCACTTTTTAAATATGTCCTCACTTAACACAAAGAGTATGCTCCCGCATTCCTAACAACAATCAGAAAGAATTAGTAAAAGTGTCAAAAAACTTTCTTAAAGATTAGGTGAAGCAAAAGGGTTGAGAGACTGCATTTTATTAAAGTTAGATGCACAATAAAATAAAACAGGATTTTTCTCTATCAGAGTTCATTATTCATCACTTCTTCGACATTTAAGAGCACTTTTCCTATTTCATTCGAATTCAAGTAGACAGTACAATAAAAGACTAGATTTTAATACCATAACCAAGTATGTGACTACAAGCTGCCAAAACAACCAAATGACAAAAATTAAAGTAACCAGTCAACTATTTTGTTTATGCCACTTATTCCCAAATGCTGGTACAGCAATAAAGTTTTCGTAAGTCCATGGCAAAAAAGAGGCATTATTTATGATATCCTTATTGGATAATATAGTATGTATTGTACACATATACCTTTCCATATATCATAGAATCCGTTCTTTCTTGAGAATGACCCTTTTCTACATCTTCTTTGCTTCTTTGATTTTAAAATGCCCTTTTCTTTCATCAAATGATAGTGACAGTGATTGAAAGTGAATTTTTTTTTAATGTCCATACTTGGCAAAATAAAAAGTTGTTGCCCTGATGTTTATCCGTCAATTTGAGGGAAACATATTTTGGGGACTGAAAATCTAAGGTTCTGCGAGCTACTAGATGACTTATTTAACATATCTTAAATGATTTAAGCAGAAATTTAATTGATAGAGTTTAATGTAAAGCTCTCTAACCCTAAATGCAAAGATAATCAGGAAGATAATGCAGACTTCATGTGAATCGTCACACTGGTAACAATAATCAAAATACAAGCCAGTCATTAGAATTATCTTCCTATATAAATGTCAACATATTCATTTTCACACATATCAAAAACTGAGGAAGTGTAAAACTGTTAAGGGAAGAAGTCTGTGTGGATCCAAGTTTGACTTTTCTACTGTTAACTAAATCTACAATCCAAAATACAAGTAGAATTCACATCTCTATCTGGCTTTCATTAATCATTCCAAAACTGCTCTACAGGGAACTTTTCTTCAGAGACTGGCAGCTATCAAGAGGGTAAATGACGCTCTGGGTTTTGTTGTCCCAATTCTAGAAAAATAATCTTACTACATACATCTCTTCTCATTTTACTGGTAAGTTACATAAGAGTTAGGGGGAGGGAGAAGGACATGTAATTATGCAAGTAAGCTAGAATCCTACTTGTGAATGAATAGAAACCCTAAAAGGTGAACAGTAGTCTTGTACTATGTTTATATGCATGTTTTGTACTCTATGTATTAAATGCTTCAGTAAAACTCACAGAGGAAACTAAAGAATGGGACAAAATATCAATTGGCAGAGTTAAACCCAGGTGTTCCAATATGCTATTAACTGCCTAGAAATGAAGCTATTATTAACTATCAGAATTCTTGTCATGTTCTTTTTTAAAGTATCTTAGTTCCACACATTCATTTTTTATTTGGCTATTTAAATGAATAAATAATTTCACAAATATGTTTTGGCTATATTTACATTTAAAATAAATAATCATTAATAAATTTACTATATTATAAAATACGGGCAGTAAAAAAATATTACATTTGTTCAACACTACGTAGCAAGAACTGAAATGATGATTTATTTACATTATCTCATTAATCCTCATAAGGAAATAGGGATTATTTTCCCAGTTTTCTGATTAGGAAGAGCAATGCTCAGAGACTTAGGCATTAGTAATGGGCAGAGATGAGCTTCAAAGTCAGACCTGTTAGACTCGAAGGCTCATGTTCTTTCTTTGGAACTACCTATTTCTTGAGAACTTAATCTTAATATTGAAGACTTTGATATCTTTATTCAATCAGATTAACAGCAACTTTTCTGTCAAGAAACTTTTTGAATTTAATCATAAGTTATTTTATCAATAAAACAGCTGGAGCTGAAACAGTTCTGCTAAAAATGGTGTAAATATAAGTAACTATGAAAATTACTTATGTGTTTAAATTGCTATATATCATGTAACTGATTAAATACAAACCACTCAATGGGGTAATAAGAACCTGAGGGGAGGAAATTTAGGCACAGAGAAATTAAGCAATTTGCCCAAGGTCCTAAAGCCCACATATGACAGGGCACGTGTACCCAGGAAGTCCAACTCCAAAGCCTCTTGTCCACCTCACAATGGGACACTGCCTTCTCAAAGAGAACCGACACCTAAGACAACCCTTTAAAATTTGCCTTATTTTAATATTCTACATATTCTTGAGGTAAGGTTATTTTTAATTTCCTAAAAGCCTATGTACATATACATACTACAAATCTTTTATGTGCTAAAATATATTCAAGTTATAAAAATAAGTAAAGAAAATAAATGACCAAGTATCTAGCTTAATTTAAACCATAAAATTTAATTTCTGGGCCTTAAACTAATGTTGAACATTAACTGACGTATGAATTAAAAAGAACACATTGAGGGAATTTACTATTTCATCTTAATTCATATAAATCCACAATTAGGAATTGAGTATTTTAAATAAACATTTAAATAGTAAAAGCTATACATTATTAACCTTCATTGAAAACCATGCACAAAGCAGAAATATGAACAAACCAGATACTTTTAGTATGAGTTAGAAAACAAAAGAAACCCAAACCTTAAACCTCTAAAATGTAAAGACAGTTCTTATAGAGAACAAGTAGAGTGAACAGCAGAAAAGCTACAGAGATTAATGACAAAACAATAGTGAATAGGCTTTGTAAAGCTTTCACCACTTTGATGTGTAAATGATGGGGGGAAAAATGCATTCCTTGCCCTAAAAAGTTAAAATCCTTTCATTCTACAATACATTTTGTTTTAGGAGGAAAATATTTGTCAGTTCCCATGAGCTGCTTTCAAAAATTGCAAAAAAGAGAAAAAAGAAGAAGAAAAAAAAAAAAGCTTGAACCTATATCAGTCAAAAGATAATTGAACAAAATTAACATTTCCATCCTGTGTCTGATAACTGCAAGTCCCAGCACAAAAGATATTTGCCTCTAAGTACTCGGATGCTAAACCAGAGGTTGTATAAACTTGGACCCGGTGCCCTACTCTGGCTCTCTCTTCACTCTTTGAACACTCTGCTGAAAACAAGACCACACTGACCTTGTACTTGTGTACAATATGAAAATCCTTTTCCTAAGTCCATGGTTTCCAAACACAAAGCCGCATCCCTAAGTGATGGCCTATAAATGACTATAAATAAAAATAGAAATCCTAGCCTCAGGCCATTTTCCATTGTTTCAATCTTCAACAGAAACGGTTACAGAGCAGACCCAAGAAGCTAAAAATCTGAGAAAAACCAACTAAACAGGGGCTTCTAAGAGAAACTAGAGTACCTGAGTATCCTTGGTAGGTTCTGCGTCAGAGCTGGCACACCGGTAGAAATAGAAAAGTGCACAAGCAGCAAAACAGAGAGAGATACTAAGATAGCAGAATTAATGACCACCGCCCCGCCAACAAAGCCAAACACAAACAGCAGCATGCATCCAGGACTCATGGCGCTGTGCTGGCATGGTGAAACGCCCGAACCAGGAGGCCTACACGGGGGCCAAAAGGGTATCTTTGTAGTGAGGATCTGTCATTCAGCTGCTGCCACAAAAACAATGCCATCAGCAGCAGCTTTCCACTCCATCCTGCAGCAGCTCTGAAGCGATGACGTCATCGCCACCGCGCTCTCCCCACCTCAAAACCATAGCTCTGCTGCCCCTAGCTTTTATGCAGCAATCCTGAGCACAGCCAGCCTATTAACTATGTTCCTATCCACTAAGAGTCCTGGCGTAACTCATTGGCTACAATGCTTGGAGATCTACATAATTTATTCACACTCTTATATTAAACAGAAGTCTCACTAAACCCTTTCTAAACCTGCCTCTCTGTAACAAAAAGGACCAGGAGAAATGAAAAATTGTCAGCGTTCCCACGAATCAGAAAAATTTAAACCTAATGTAATCTCCATTAAGTATTACAAAACAATCAAAATATCTCGATATGCTGCATATTTATACAACACGGCTCACAATTTACCTTTTCAATAGTGAAGGCTGTTTCTATTTTTCTATGCTATTCTCTCCTATAGCATTCCAACCACAGTAGAGAGCTTTTGAATCAGCCTAACTATTGTTCCAGGATTAAAGAACAGAGAGAAACAGAAACAGACAATTTATTTTGCTTTTTCTCAAGGCAAAATGTATAACAAAGCTTACCTAATTCTACTATGAGCTGTGGACTCTAGTTGATCACTCCCTGAGAGCTGATGAAGTTTTGTTCTTTCTAAGTGTTCCATATAATTATGGATCATCTATTTTGAAGAAAAAAAAAACATACACACAAAATTTTAAGATTAAAACATAGTGTTTTAACAAGGGAAACATTTTTGTATAAATTTCTTATTTATCAGATTACTCATAATTCCATGTAAAAGAACATTAAGGATGAAATTTTTTTAATGACAAAGAAATATGCAAAAACTTTATACATTTAATGATGTTGGTATCCATAAAAGTGGCCAACATGTTGCTTAGCATAGCAAAAAACTTTTTTTTACAATATATGATGCCATTAAATGATGTAACTTTGACATAAATAACACAAACTAGGATACAGACACTAGGAAGGAGGTGAGCAGAGAAACTGGTTAAAGATGACTGGTTAAAAATACTAGAAGACATTTGAGAAATCCGTTCACTAAAATGGGAAACAAAGAAATTAACATGAAACGTGAGAAGAAACTGACAAGGAAAAAAAATGCAGAGATGTCCTCAGAAGAGCTTTCAGCCATAAGATTTTTAACAAAACCATATCCGTATGTGATCTTTTCCATTTTACAAAGGATTCACAGAGTAAACACCACTTTCAATTTAGCTAAATACCAAGATGTTTATTTCTGTCTACAAATTTAGTTGAAAGAATGCTAAAATATTCTCTCCTTTGTTTGATTGCTAATTTACTAGTATCATTACTTAATATAATTACCCGTAATAGTAAATTAAAACAAATGAAGAATCAAAACACTGTGATTTTGAGTCTTAGATAAGAAACCATGATAGACAACCTGAACACAAAAGTGAAAACTTCAATATCAAGTATATAAACTGCCAAGATATTCTACTGCCCTATATGACTCATGGTAATCTTTTATCATATCAATATTTTAATAAATATTCATAATGGTAGTTCCACTTTTAAGAAACCTAAATCTGGCATTAAAACATGTAAAATGTAGCAAATTTTAATCATGTAAAGTCAAAAAGCCTTTGCTAGATGCTAATGTGATATGAATAAAAAGAAATGAATTTAAAAGGTGTGTTAGAAAATTAAAAGAATGTAGATATCAAGAGTAAGCAAAAAAAGGCAGATGTCTTTCTTGGGAATAATCCTTGAATTGTTAAAATTGTAGCGTGTAATAGCTTTGGAAGTTTCTAAACTTTAGCTGTATGAAGGTGGGTTTCAATCTTCATTACTCAAATATTGACTGCAGCATATTAAAAAGATAACTATTGAAAGAAAACATTTTAAACAAAATTTTAAAATTTATTTTTCAAAAGCATGCTTTTGCTGTAAAAATACTTCTTGGCATTCATGTACAATAAGAAATACGTAAATCAATTTGAAAGTGTTATTTATTTCAAATAAACAAAAAGCTGAACTCTGATGCATGAATTTAAGATAAGTAATTCTATCAAATCAAACATCATAAAATAATCAGGTTGTTCTTCACTTAAGACTAATCCAAACAAGAAATGTATCAGGCAAAGGAAAAATGAATATAGAATCACATGGATATGGAATATATTTTTATAACTTTTAAATTTACATGCTTTTTATTTTAAATTTACAGATTTTCTTTACCATCACTTAAAGGACAGTTTTGCAGAAATACAGTTTCTGTCTTTGTGTCAGCAAGCTACAAATAATGAGCTGTTTTCTTCTTGCATCATCAAGAACTTTAAGAAAAAAATTTAAATGAGACTAACATAACAAAGTGATAGTTGGGCCAAATAGATATCAATTTATATTGTAAAAAGGTTTTAGAAAACCTAAGTTGAATTCTTATGTAAGCATATGAAATTGATTAGTTCAAATGGAAGAACCTGCTTCCTTAACCATTCATATGGAGAAAACAGAAATCTCCCCTAGATGCTTTTATAGTAATCTACTTATTCGACATAGAAAAATATACATAAATAAAATGCAAAGATAGAATTAGTTTTATTCCCACAAATGGTCCACCTTTAGATTGATTCTTGTCAATTAAATAAAAAAAATTAATTTAGGAAATGTTGAATTCTACGACTTCTTCAAATGACTGATCCCAAGTAATATCAGATATAGTATTCTGAAATTCCAAAATGGTCTGTGTAATTTAATTGGTTCCAACCAAACTAAACTATCACTTAACAGGAAAGAATAACAACAAAATGGCAACTAACATTTACTGTGTACCAACTATAAGTCAGCCAGTGCATTTACAGCCATTGTTTCATTTAATCCTCACAACAATATTACAATAGCTTAAGGAGGTTAAAATAATTTGCCCAATTTGACCAGCTGGTTAATGATCAACTGTGTTCTAGTTGGCTTTGGGGCCAGAACTCAGGTCCCTCTGATTCAGTCATCCATCATCCGAACAGGTAAACATTATAGGACTCATGTTGTATCTGGCCTCTCAGTCAATTCTCTAGGCTGGCAATAAGCTCATTGTCCTTTCTTCCTCGCACCCACAAGAAAATCCCACACCCTAAAGCATTTCCTGACATCTGAAATAAAATATGCACGCTATCCTATAAATGCACAAAAAAGTGAAAAGGATTAATTGTACAATAAAAAATTAAAATTTAATTACAGGGCTTCATAATGTAGTTCTGATTTAAAAAAAAAAAAAGTGAGAGGGACGGCAGGATCAGTGTTGCTAGACAGAAGAGAGGGAAGAGTAAAATAGGACATGCTTTAGATGATCTGCTATTGGGTCAGCCAGCCCCACACTTCCTTATCTCAGAACTGCAAGTCTCAATTTTCTAAGGTATGCACATTAATTCACACATATTCAGGAGTCAATTCAGCAAGCAACAGCTGGAGTCAGGAAGAAGGATCCCAGGCACTCTGTGTGGAAAGTCCCAACTCCTCTACCACCTAGAAAAATCTTCACAGCAGAGGTTGACTGCCAACTTTGGCTAAAACTGAAATGAAGTCATGGATCCCTTTAATCATGTAGGCCTTGAATCCTTCCATATGCAAACCAAGAATCATATATTTGTATCCACAAAACCACTATTCTTAAATTGGTGAGATGCCATAAAGCAAAGAGGCACAGAAAATTTTCTAGTGCATTTTTATCACCCATAACCTGAAAGCATTACTGAAAATTCAGGCAATGGAATCAGACAGACCTAGGTTCAAATCCAGTCACATCACATACTAGCATGGGATTTGGGACAAATCACTTTATATTCTTTCTAAACTTAAATCTCTAAAAGGGGGATAGATGATAGAGAGTGGTTAGAGGATAAAACAGGAATGCATTTAAACACTCCCTAATGTAAGCTCATGGTTCAAGTTTTTGGTGATTAATATTAAGAGTATATATACATGTAGCCCAAGTGCCTCATGATTACTTGATGTTTATATTTCCTCCAATGCCCTTTTAGACATGTCTTTTAAGCAAATTCAATAATGTGTAAAAAAATTTAGAATTGATTAGAGAAGTTATTCACATTACAAAAAGAGCCATAGCAGATTTTTGTGCCTATAAAAAGATTACCTTAGTTGAAATAGTGAAAAAATGAAGGTCAAATCTTTCATACTTCCTTTCCCTGAAGGTTTCCAGAATTTACCTTTAAAGGACACCTCATTCTTTAGCATTGGATAGCTATTTATAACTGCTAATTGGCATTTCTCATACAGATGTATAAACACAGAAAAATGTGGGCTAGAGTAAAACAAACCCACATTTCAAAGCAGCTATATCTGTGTTACATAAACCTTCCTTGAGGAAAGCAAAATAAAGGGAGCCTATCAGGGCAGAGGACAAAAAGCAGCTCGTGACTGAGGGAGGGATCCTATGAAAACAGCTGCGGTGCTATGTGAAATCAGCCTTGGTTACTGCACAGGCCCAGCTCTCTGAATATGTATTTAAAATTTTTTCTGAAATCTTTTTTTCTTCCTGGACTGTGATTCTCTGAAAGAATAGAACAGAAAATTATTATTTTTTCATTTGAAGATGTCAGTTTGTTTTTTCTGTAAGACATTACTTCTGTTAAATAAACATTTGAGAAAAAATATGAAATTTCACTTTATATTGATTTTTCAAGAATGCACATATTTTATATATACCTCAATTAAACACATCCTAATTTAATAATCCTCAATTATTACAAAGGTTAGAACTTCAATAAAAACAAAAAGATTATTCATCACTATCAATGATTTATGTATATGTCAATTATATGTTCTCCCAAACATATTTATAATTATAGCATTGATAAGCATTGTGTTTACTATCAATAAACACAATGTACAGGGCATTGTTCAGTCAATGAAATAAATGGTATAAAAAGAACTAACAATAGGCTTTTAACAATCAACTGTTTTTAAGTCTTAATATCCACCAACTGCCATCTTATTTTTCACATACTGAAAAGGCTGCTGTGAAGCTGTTTCTGCCTTCCCAGAGCTCTTTGGTTCCAGCCCTCCGTCGCCAATCTTTTCCCTCTGCCACTGAATTTCAAAGACAGTAATAATCAAATCTCATATGTCAGGAAGAAATTCCAACCCCTCCCCAAGAAAATGTTAAGCACATTATTCCAAAGCAAGTGAAACAGAGTGCAGTGTGGTTTTATCGCCCTTAAAAGCAAAATATAGGTCTCTACCAGAGACAGGTTACCAGATAACAGAAATTAGTGAAAGAAAAATTAGTGAAGACAGGAACCATCTGTATCCTGGGAGAGATTGGACTAGAAAGGGAAAAAGAAAGGAATTATATTTTTCTTATAACAAATAATGCATGCATCTATGAAAATTCTACATATTTAGGTATGTGAACCCAGACTTATCATGATACACAGAAACAATTTTCACATTAAGAAGACAGAAACAAAAGCAACTAATGAAAGGCTGACAAAGAATCATAAAAAGGGTTTTAAAAAAACCCTCAAGTACATTTTCTGATTTGCTTTCGAGAGATTATGTGCTGGAGTTGTTAATTTAAAATACTGAAATTTCATGTAGAATATCTGTTTTAGAGTCATTACGATTCAACACATTATAATTTGTGTTTGTTATTTGTTATAAGCGTGATTTAAATTAACTCCTTTAAACTAGATCATAAATGTAGAGACACTACCAATCATTTACCGATTGACCAATTTCCAAGTGGTAACAAAATAAATTAAATTCTCTCATATTAACATCATGTACACTTTTTATTATGCACACATAAGTTTTTACTTAGCCAGCCAAAGAAACCATTGGAATTGTCTTAAAAATTACATTATTTTGTGGCACACTCATTCACCAAATGAAAATTCCAAATAAAAAAACATTAAAAGTCAACATTTGTTAATTAGGTAAATGCTACATGGAATTTAATGTTTTCTGAAAATAATCCCCAAGAAAAATTAATAAAATAATCCCCAAAGAAATATTAAGACATATTTTCTAAGGTTAATTTCTTTGTCTCAATATTAGCATGGTAAGATCCCAGAAACCTACCTCAGTATGTCTTTGATGTAATGCATTATATTCCTTCTTCAATTCTGCTTCTCTTTCTTCAAGTCTGCTAACTGAAAGTAAGATACATATACTTAATCGAAACAAAATATAAGAAATTTATTTGAAAATTCTACCTTAAAAATTTAGAATGGTTTATCCATAATCCTTAGCAACTTTAGGACTTGGCACTCCATGTGAAATTTTTCACAAGGCTAGTAACCTCATTTCATCATCCTTAATAAATAAAACTTTCAGAGGAGGAATAAGCTAGATTTCAAAAAATGAAACATCAGATACAGAATTATCTCTTTCAAAAACACTTTAAATCACCTTATAGAAGCTTTAACCTGGAATTAGGACTCAAATCATTGATTTCTAACATTATTCAAGCTCTTTTTCTCTACTGAGCAGTATGTGAAAATGTCATTGTTTAAAGTACTTTTTCTGCTTCAGACCTTAATTTCAGGGACTCATCTTCTTTTATTTAGCTCCCTCTGCTGATGGAGTTTGTGAGTGGCACTGATTTGGGGGAGTGCTCACAGAGTACAATCTTATGATATTAAAAATAAATTTTAGACTGGAAAAATGTATTTTAAAAAATCTAAAAAAAAATTTAGAATGCAGGGACAGGATTTCACAGGAAAGAATGATATCAGAGAGAAGGTACAGGCCAAGCAAGACCATAAAGAAATTATAGTACTCAAGAGAGACGGTGATGTGCGTGTACTGGGCACTGTTACACAGAGAAGGGAACACAAAACTGCTGGTGGTGAGGCAGAGGTGAGGCTAGCCAGCCTGAAGGAGCCTGTACTGGCTAAGGAGCCCTGGGAGACAGTCTGCCGGGGAGAAAAGAAGCTGATGCTAGAGGAGCCTGTCAAGATACTTATTTAAGTCTGCTTGAAGGCCTGACATTAGCTGGAAATGTTCTCTTGGTTTAGAAGTCTGCTACCTGCGTGCAGGCAGGGCTGTTTGTAAGCAATAGCTTGTGACTGTGTCAGATGGCTGTTGAAGTAACTACTATGAACTATCACGGCACACACAAAAATATTTTCATATGCCTGATGTTATCGCACCAGACACCAAACGAAACATAACATGCTGCTTGCTAAACTCATCTCTGGTTTGTGTAGTTTTACTTGCCACCTTTGCTTGAATATCTTGAAAATATATCATCAACTAGAAAAACTGTAGCTCTGATTTTGATTTGTTTCTAATCAAGCCTATATGTTGGCTCACTAAAAATTTCACCAGTGAGTAAACATACACTACAGTCCCCGCAGAGCACACTATATCATACAGGCAAAGGTTGACTGAGTGAGTACATGTGCTGCTCATCTTACCCTGTGGCTGAGAGCAATAAAAAGCAAACACAGTGCAGATATGTTGGGATAAAACAATAGATATTGAAACCATAATATCTTAAACAATATCTTAAATAATAATTTTTAGTGCTGCTTCTTTGATTTATTTTAAAACAGGAAATCTGAGCAAATAGAGATATTTATTAACAATTTCACAATAAACATTTCCTGCTACTACTTGTTAATTACACTAATCTAACAGCGTAATCTTAAGACTACCAGGGTAAACCTTAACTATTTTTAATTGCATATCTGCATGAACCAAGATTTTCTTGGTATCATGCGACCCCCCTCCAAAAAAAAAAAAAGAAAAAGAAAATTGAAGCTGAGGCTAATACAAATCACACCTATCATCTATAACCCTCAATTGCAAATTTGTACCCCACAGGAGAACCTTACTATTTCCATCAGCTAACTTGATGTGAATTCATAAAATAAATTTATATCACCATCACATTCACTACTAATTAATAGCTAACATTATATAGTACTTATTAGTACCTTGCACAGTCCTATGCACTTTATATAAACTAACTTATTTGAGCCTGAAATTAACCTTATGATTAAAATATTATTATATTCACTTTAGATATGAGGAAGCTGAAGCAAAGAGGAATTAAATAACTTGCCCAAAGTCACGCGGCTAATAAATGGCAAAATTAGGATTCCTAATGGAGGAGTCTGGGTCCAGAATCTATTTTTGATTATCACGTTTTACTGGCCCTCAGGAAATACTCTTTTTAATGTTTTATATATTGGAGTCTACTTTAAAATTTCACTTGGGGGAAAAAAATATAGAAGAGTGCTCTTTTCTACTTAAAACAAAAACCCTTCTGTTCTTATAGAAAACCTCGTCACATATACTTCAACCCAAAGGTATCAAAACTGCCAAGTAAAATATGTATCCAACTTTATTAATCATCATAGAAATGCATTTAAAACCAAAACGCAACACTACATACCTGTCAGAATAGTGAAAATGAAGAACAAAATACACCAAATGCTGGTAAGGATGTGGAGCAACTGGAATTCTCATATACTGCTGGCAGGAATATAAATTGGTACAACCAATCTAAAAACTATTTGGCAAGATCTAATAAGGTTGAATATTTGCCAGTCCTATGACAAACCAAGTGCATTGTTATGAAGTGTATAAACGTGTCCACCAAAAGGCATTTAAAACAATGCTCCAAGCAGCACTATTTGTAATAACCCAAGCGTGGAAACAACCCAAATATCCATCAACAGCAGAATGGATAAATATTCATGTACCAGAATACTACACAACAATGAGATAAACAAATTAACTGCAATACACAACATCATGGACAAATCTCATAAGCAGGATATTAAGGGATAGAAGAAGCAAAAAAATACATAATTCAAAGACATACAAAACTAATTTAAAACTAATCTAATGTGCTAGAAATCAGGACAGTGGTTACCTGGAGAGGAGTTAGTGACCTGATGACTTTATTGTGTGAACAGCCCCACCTCACCCTAGTCCAAACACAATGTATTCCCATTCACACACACACTTTCCTTGGCTTGAATACTCATTATTCTTTATGTTCTCTAACAGCTGCTACAAGTTCAATATATAGCACAGGATTTAAACAGACTGCTCAGAATTATTACAAACAAGCTGTGCTGATTTACCATTACAAGTTATAGAGAGATAAGCAAAACTATTATCAGATTGAAGAATTATAAAAAGAAAAAAAGACAGGCATCATGGGAGGATAAATTGTAACTACTCTTTCAAAAGTCGTGTTGGCAATATCTATTAAAGTAAGATAAAAGGTGTATATCCTTTGACCCAGCATTACTATTCTTACTTATCCTACAGGAAACATGCCAATGTCCAAAGATATGAAAATGGATGCCCTATGCAACATATCTTCTACTAACTCCTAAATCTGTCATTAGTTGGTTGGCGAATTATGATATACAATGGACTACACTGCAGTGACTTTACTACTTCCAAGTTATGTTACCGTGGGTATATCAACCTCTCTGCATCTCAGTTTCCTTATTTATAATTGAGAAATAATGATGGCATATCAGAGCTTATATTAGGATTGAGTTAATATTTGTAAAGGGCGAATAGTGCCTGGCACACATGTTTTTCAAATACAACAGTGAAAAGTACTATTAAAAGGAATACAGTATATCTGTATGTACTAACATGGGATGGTGCCTAGAAATGAATGGATGTTGAACATATATCTGAAAATAAAAAATACAAAACAATTTACAATATGATGCCACTAAGATGTCAACAAAGCCAAAACTGAACAGAATGTCTCTCCTAAATCTGCTCTTTCCCATAATCGTCTTACTCAGGCAAAAATCTTGCAGCTCTCCTTTTGCTCTTCTCTGTTCCTCACATCACATATTCAGTCTATCAGCAAATTCTGTCCATTTTACCTTGAAAATAAATCTAAAATATGACCACTTTTTCCACCTCCATCATTCCCATCATCTCTTGCCTGAATTATTACAATTATCTCCTGATCAATGTTTCTGCTCTAGCCTTTGCTCCCCTGTATTCTTTTCATGAAAAAAGATTTATTAGTTTGAAGTATATAGTACATTGGTTAGATGTACTATATATGTAGTATATATAGTACTACATATATGTACTATATATATATATATACATATAGTACTATATATAGTACATGTATAGTTTTTTATAAAACAATGCCCCTAATTGCTCCTTCTCTCCTCTGGTTTTCTGTCTAACCAATATATTAATGCTGACTGCATTCCCTATGCTGTGCTCCCCATCCCTGTGACCATCTATAAACTACTAATTTGTACTTCTTTAACCATTCACCCGATTCTCCCAGTCCCCCAAACCCCCATCCCCCTCTGTCTGTCACCAAATTGTCCTTTATATTTCTAAGTCAGTTTTTTATTAGTTTGTTCTTTTTATTTCTTAGATTCCACATATAAATGATATCATATGGTATATTTATCTTTCTCTGACTTATTTTACTCAGCATAATCACCTCTAGGTCCATCTATGTAATT